TGCTCACGCCTGCGGGTCTGTGTCAGGAGACGTGCAGCAGAGTTCTGCATAAGCTGCAGGCGGGCAAGGGAAGCCTGGCTAATCCCTACGTACAAGGAGTTGCAGTAATCAAGACGGGTAGTGATAAAAGCATGGATTAATTTTTCCAGGTCAGGTCTTGATAAAATGGGCTTCACCTTCGCTATTTGGCGTAGCTGATAAAAACTTTTTTGTACCACCCCGCTGATCTGCTTGTCAAATTTAAAATCAGGGTCAAATTTAACTCCCAGATTAGTGACGACCTCTTTAAGGTAGGGTGAGAGGGAGCCTAGGTCGAAAACCCTTAAAACAGGCAGAAAAAAGAGAAAACTAAAAAAAAGAAAAAGAAGAGTATTTCTGAAAAAAAAAAAACAACAACAACAAAAAAACACCCTAAGAAAACTAAAAAACAAAAAAGAAATATTTCTGATTCTTGGGGTTAAGAAAGCCTGAGAAGTGGAAGAAGTAACTTCCCCGAAGTAAGGAAGTACTTAAAAAAAAAAAAAAACTCTTCAAAAAGAAATCTCCAAAAACAAAAATAAATTAAGACAACTGATGAAAAAACAAAAAAGAAAAAAAAAACATCAACATGGGAAAAAAAAAAAAACTACTGGAAAGAAAATTAAAAAACAACAAACAAAAGCACCCATAACCCGGTGTTTTTCACACAAAAGATAAAATAAACCTTGCGGTTTTCCGTCCCATGGGAGGGTTTTTATCCCCCTCCTCGAGCTACCACCTTACCGTGGTGGAGGGGTTTGTGTGTCCCAATGAGAGTTAATTCTGATTTACTCTTGCTGTTGTCAAAAAGTGCTAAAATTTCTCTGAATTTCGCATGCTAAGTAGGCCCATGTCAGTTTTAATCCTTGCAGGACTCTTGTTTTCACTTTTCATCAGCAGAGGAAAAGCTTTTGGATAACTGATTAATATAGAGTTCAGGGGAAAGTATATCTGCAATGTATAATCAATAATGACTTTATCTTCATGAGTAAATATGATTTGTACATTTAAAGAGAACTATTTTTTAATTTTGGTTCAACAATGGACAGAAGTACACAGGCAAGATGGCGTCTGTAAAGTTCAGTTTAACAGCTGGTGTGTCATACTAAGTTTTCTTATTTAACCCATCAATACATATCAATTCATAAAGCATCTATTACAAAAACAGCTCAAATCAATGTGGGTTAACAGCAGGTTTGAAAAATACATGATTGTTATAGGGTGTGCTTTTTTTTTTACATTTAAATGTGAAAAATTCAAATGTAAACAAACAACAAGAGAATATGGCATCAAAGGAACAATTCCGTGATGACATCATTATGACATCATCATGGCTTTCATCTCGTGTTACTAACTGGAAGTAGAGCAGCTGTCCAGGGTATCGTTTGAACCTTTCAGCGAGTAGCTACACTTAAAGAAAGAGACAATCGAAATCTTTTAGCAGCGGAACTCTGAGACTACAAACAGTCAAAGACAATGCAGCGACCAACAAACCGACCCAGGATTAACAGGCCCTTCTACTTGAGGGACAGAGAGATGGAGACACTCCGCAGGACTGTGGCTCAGCTCACTGGACAGCTGGAGAGTGAGAAGAACCGAACACTCTTGCTCAGCCAGGAGTTGGAGGTGACTCAACAGAGGCTCACTGGACAGCTGGAGAGAGAGAAGAACCGAACACTCTTGCTCAGCCAGGAGTTGGAGGTGATTCATCAGAAGCTGACCAGGCAAAGGGCTCTCAAGGAAGTGTACATTAACAAAGGGAAGGAGCTCAAAAAGGAGCTGCAGATGCTTCAAAAGTACAGCTCAGAGGAGACCCTCTCCAAACACAGAATTGCTCTTAAGGTGAGGGACACGAGCCGGCAGAAGAAGAAGAAGGATCTTCATGTCGATTACGAGGAGCTGAAGGTGGCACATATTGTGGAAAATGAGAGGCTCACAACACAAGTCCAGGAACTGACTGAAAGAAACACGGTCCTCCATGAAGAACAGGAGAAGACAAGAACCTCATACCAAGCACTGAAATTCCAGTATGCAACTGATCTCACTGCTGCGAAACAGGAAGTTGAGACCCTTCAGCGTGAGCTGCAAAATCAGGCTCACCATGATGGACTCTTACAGGAACAGACCATCCAGATCCTGAGAGCCGAACAGGACTCCATGACGGAGAAGATTGCTGTTCTGCAGCAGGCAGCTTTTGAAACAGAGAGGAGGCACTGGGCTGAGCTGGAGGAGCTGAAACAACAGCTCTACATCCAGACAGCCGGTATGATGGACAACAAGGAGCTTAAAGTGGCCCAAGAAACCAGCTTTAACAATGAAAAAAACAAAAAAACAAATGAACTCTCAACTGAGCTTCAACTTCGAGAGACAGGCATCAGGCAAAGTGAGATGACGCTTCAGGAGCAGGACTTCATGGACATGGACATCGAGCAGTTTTGCATGGAGTTGGAGAAAACTGCAGAAACTTCTGGAGCTGAAGAACTGGCAGGAGCTTTAGAAATCGAAGTGACTGCTGGATCTCCAGAACTAGTTGGAACAGCAGGACCAGCAGAGACACCAACCTCTAATGCCACCAAACCACCTTCTTCAGTCTGGAAACAAACAAGACACTTCTTGGGGTTAAGAAAGCCTGAGAAGTGGAAGAAGTAACTTCCTCGAAGTAAGGAAGTACTTTAAAAAAAAAAAAAAACTCTTCAAAAAGAGATCTCAAAAAAAAATAAAGAAAGAAAGAAAACCAAAAAAAAAAAAATCAATCAATCAATCAACTTTATTTCTATAGCACATTTAAAACAACCACAAGGGTAGCCAAAGTGCTGTACAGTGACACATAAAAACAAATAAAACAATCAAAGAACAAGATAAAGCAAGCAGAAATACAGTAATGCAAAAGAATAAATAAGTGTATAAATAAGGAGGCTCACGGCAAGTGCTAAGATGATAAAAAACAAATTAACACTACAATGTACTAAAAGCCAATGAGTAAAAGTACGTTTTTAAAAGGGATTTAAAAACAGAAAATGAGGAGGCCTGTCTAATTTTCAAGGGCAACTCATTCCAGAGCTTAGGGGCAGCAGCGGCAAATGCTCTGTCCCCTCTGAGCTTCAGCCTTGTACTGGGGACGGTCAGTAAAAGCTGATCAGCTGATCTTAGGGGTCGGGGTGGGCAATAAGGCTGTAGCATCTCCGAAATATAGGGTGGAGCAAGGTTGTTCAGGCCCTTAAAAACAAATGCTAAAAGCTTAAAATGAATTCTGTACTGAACAGGGAGCCAGTGTAAGGACGCCAGGATGGGGGTGATGTGCTCACGCCTGCGGGTCTGTGTCAGGAGACGTGCAGCAGAGTTCTGCATAAGCTGCAGGCGGGCAAGGGAAGCCTGGCTAATCCCTACGTACAAGGAGTTGCAGTAATCAAGACGGGTAGTGATAAAAGCATGGATTAATTTTTCCAGGTCAGGTCTTGATAAAATGGGCTTCACCTTCGCTATTTGGCGTAGCTGATAAAAACATTTTGTACCACCCCGCTGATCTGCTTGTCAAATTTAAAATCAGGGTCAAATTTAACTCCCAGATTAGTGACGACCTCTTTAAGGTAGGGTGAGAGGGAGCCTAGGTCGAAAACCCTTAAAACAGGCAGAAAAAAGAGAAAACTAAAAAAAAGAAAAAGAAGAGTATTTCTGAAAAAAAAAAAAAAACAACAACAAAAAAACACCCTAAGAAAACTAAAAAACAAAAAAGAAATGTTTCTGATTCTTGGGATTAAGAAAGCCTGAGAAGTGGAAGAAGTAAGTAAGGAAGTACTTAAAAAAAAAAAAAAAACTCTTCAAAAAGAAATCTCCAAAAACAAAAATAAATTAAGACAACTGATGAAAAAACAAAAAAGAAAAAAAAAAACATCAACATGGGAAAAAAAAAAAAAAATTCTAAAAAAAAAAAAAAAAAAAACTACTGGAAAGAAAATTAAAAAACAACAAACAAAAGCACCCATAACCCGGTGTTTTTCACACAAAAGATAAAATAAACCTTGCGGTTTTCCGTCCCATGGGAGGGTTTTTATCCCCCTCCTCGAGCTACCACCTTACCGTGGTGGAGGGGTTTGTGTGTCCCAATGAGAGTTAATTCTGATTTACTCTTGCTGTTGTCAAAAAGTGCTAAAATTTCTCTGAATTTCGCATGTTAAGTAGGCCCATGTCAGTTTTAATCCTTGCAGGACTCTTGTTTTCACTTTTCATCAGCAGAGGAAAAGCTTTTGGATAACTGATTAATATAGAGTTCAGGGGAAAGTATATCTGCAATGTATAATCAATAATGACTTTATCTTCATGAGTAAATATGATTTGTACATTTAAAGAGAACTATTTTTTAATTTTGGTTCAACAATGGACAGAAGTACACAGGCAAGATGGCGTCTGTAAAGTTCAGTTTAACAGCTGGTGTGTCATACTAAGTTTTCTTATTTAACCCATCAATACATATCAATTCATAAAGCATCTATTACAAAAACAGCTCAAATCAATGTGGGTTAACAGCAGGTTTGAAAAATACATGATTGTTATAGGGTGTGCTTTTTTTTTTACATTTAAATGTGAAAAATTCAAATGTAAACAAACAACAAGAGAATATGGCATCAAAGGAACAATTCCGTGATGACATCATTATGACATCATCATGGCTTTCATCTCGTGTTACTAAGTGGAAGTAGAGCAGCTGTCCAGGGTATCGTTTGAACCTTTCAGCGAGTAGCTACACTTAATGTAAAGATTATTAAATTTAGACACAACCAAGGCTATTTCTGCTGCTGTTCAGGTGCCTCTACTATACTAATAATCATTAGTATTAAATTATTTAAAATTATTTAAAAATACGACTCTGCAGTGGCTGTCATGGCAACTGAATCAACTGTTTAGTTTTAAAAAACTGAAGTTGGATATTTCAAAGTGAAACATAGACCTACTGGTAAAAACGTGGAAGAAAGCGAAAAGCAAAGATGGAAAACATGTCAGAGGAAACCCACGGCGAAATGACGGATCCACAGCACGTCCACCTAAGGTAAGGAGAAAAAAACGGTTCAAGGGGTCCCTGTGTGAAGGTGTTTCTATAAAACCGCGCCTCAACCTTTTTCTTTCTGCTCCTTTTCATTCACATGAAAATTTTTCCTTGTTTGTATTGAATGTGTCATATACTAACAGACTGAAATAAAGTATGTACACAGCGCCCTAACTTTATTGAAATGAAGTCATGTGTTTGGAGGTTAAGGCTCTGTTTGTGTAGATACCAACAGTTTGGGTCGGGTCAGAACTGCTGACATTCATACAGCTCATTCAGACGACTCAGAGAATGAGAGTATTTGGAATTTTCCAATATTTATCATGTCTCAGATTTGTGCACATCAGTTTGTGAATGACAGATATTGTACAGAAAGACTTAGCTTTCAGACCCTTTACAACAAGATCTTCAGTGCTTCTCATCTTTTTCTTTTAGCTTCCCATCTGAAAGCTCTGTGGAGGAAATGGCTCAAGACAGACCAGATCAAGATGAGACAGAGAAAACGGAGATTGATAACAGCATCATACAGAGACTTCAAGACAGACCAGATCAAGATGAGACAGAGAAAAAGGAGATTGATAACCGAATCATACAGAGACTTCAATCTGGCTGGATAGGCACTCTTCATGTCGTTTTCCTGGTGCTGCTTTTAGTCCTAATCACTGTCATTGTTGGCCTGAGCATCAATGTTAAGCAGTTACAGAAAGAAAGGAGTCAGCTGAGACAGCTTCTAGAATCAACACACATGGGACTGAACCACACCATGGAAGTAAATCAAAAAGTGAGCCAGAGTCTGAACTTCACCGTGGAAGAAAATCAAAAACTGAGGCTGAGTCTGAACTACACCATGGAGGAGAATCTGAACCTGAGCCAGAGTCTGAACAACACCATGGAAGAAAATCAGAAATTGAGCAGAAGACTAAACTACACCATGGAAGAAAATCAGAAATTGAGCCTGAGTCTGAGCTACACCATGGAAGAGAATCTGAACCTGAGCCTGAGTCTGAACAACACCATGGAAGAAAATCAAAAACTGAGGCTGAGTCTGAACTACACCATGGAAGAGAATCTGAACCTGAGCCTGAGTCTGAACAACACCATGGAAGAAAATCAGGAATTGAGCAGAAGACTAAACTACACCATGGAAGATAATCAGAAATTGAGCCTGAGTCTGAACTACACCATGGAAGATAATCTGAAACTGAGCCGAAGACTCAACCACACCAAGGAAGAAAATCAAAAACTGAGCCTGAGTCTGAGCTACTCCATGGAAGAAAATCAGAGACTGAGCCGAAGACTAAACCACACCATGGAAGTAAATCAAAAAGTGAGCCAGAGTCTGAACTTCACCGTGGAAGAAAATCAAAAACTGAGGCTGAGTCTGAACTACACCATGGAGGAGAATCTGAACCTGAGCCAGAGTCTGAACAACACCATGGAAGAAAATCAGAAATTGAGCAGAAGACTAAACTACACCATGGAAGAGAATCTGAATCTGAGCCAAAGATTAAACCACACCAAGGAAGAAAATCAAAAACTGAGGCTGAGTCTGAACTACACCATGGAAGAGAATCTGAACCTGAGCCTGAGTCTGAACAGCACCAAGGAAGAAAATCAAAAACTGAGCCTGAGTCTGAGCTACTCCATGGAAGAAAATCAGAGACTGAGCCGAAGACTAAACCACACCATGGCAGAAAAGTCACAGCTTCAAGTGCAGATTGAGGAGATGAAAAATCATATTGAATTCTACTATGGAAAACCGTGACTCTTTCAGAAAAGACAAAATCAAATATCAACAGCTTTTGATCAATGAAAGGCAGACCTCAACTCAACTAAAAGCTGAAAATCAACGTCAACAATCAATTCTGATGTCGGAGAAACTATCTTTCCTCTGGAGATTCTGTGATAAAGGCACCCTGCAATGTTCACGCTGCCTTCCTGGTTGGGCTGAGCACGCCACACGCTGCTTCCATTTGGCATCACAACCAATGAAGTGGGAAGATGCTCGTAGGGAGTGTTTTAATGAAGGTGCTGACCTGGCTGTTGTCTTGAATGCTGCAGACCAGGCATTTCTGACCAACATGACTTTCCAGTTTACACAGCAGCATCCAAATGTACTGTTCCATTCAGCATGGATCGGGTTGCAGGACATGGTGCAGGATAACAGATTTGTGTGGGTAAATGGTATCAAGTCCAAGTCAGATTTGAAGTTCTGGATGCCTGGAGAGCCAAACAATGCTGCGGCTCAATGGGACAAAGACCGTGCAGGACAGGACTGTGTTGTCATTGTCCCTCCAAAGACTGTTGGACAGAAAGGCTGGCTGAACTCCTGGGATGATGTTGTCTGTCGAGGCCAGCGGCACTACATTTGTGAAACCAAAGCTCTTATTTTGTCTGGAGTAAAAACTGAGGAATGATGAGTTTATAACAATTTAGAATAAGTATGAATTAATGTGAAATAAATGTTCTTTATTTTGATAATGATATGGTATTATTATTTGGATTTTAATGTGGTCTATATAATAGACTGTTTTTTGTTCTTTTTTTAGTCAGATCTATCTATCTATCTATCTATCTATCTATCTATCTATCTATCTATCTATCTATCACAGAATGGAGATGACATGGATTAAGGTGAAGTCAGTTGCAAGTTCAACATTTGTTAAAAAAAAAAAAAGAACAATATGACTGGAATGAGCGTTTAATCAAATAAATGTGAACAGAAACATTTTTAGGGCAGAAAAACATTATCACGAGACTTTTGGATTTCTGTCCTGCAGTTATGGAAGAATATGAGGTAACACCGGGAAATAAACCTCCGTCGTTAACATGAGAAAGAAACTTCTTCACTGACCGCCGGGAAGTGAAATTTCGGCGAAGGGTCAGTTGTGCCGTTCCCTTCCTGGAACTTCAGCCAGTCCAGCAGCCGTTCAGCTCCGACCACACCCTCCCTGCTTCCTCATACTGCAGCGGGAGCGCGCAGCACGACTTTGAATCCCCGGGAATAACGGCCCTTTCCTCGGCTACCTTTGGGATTTCATGTTCGGGGAACTAGACGAAACATGTGAGTTGACTGTCCAAAGACTTTTGAGCGGTTATGGCGCTGAAAAGCAAGTGTCAGCAGGGGCTATGCGGGGCTTCACATTCTCTGGTCCCGTGTCAAGACGCCTAGAGGAAGAGGAGGAGGAGGAGGAGGAGGGCGGACAGAAGGACGATGCATATGGAGTCCAAGCGACTGCAGCATTCGCTAGCTTCTAACCCGGGGCTGTGTTTGAAAAAGAAGAGGTTAAAAGTGGATGGAGGAGTTTGTGCTGTTGGAAAGTCGGGCTCCCGGTCTTTAACTCTGGGGGACTCATGAAACGATGGTGCTGAAGGGAAACACGAGTCTTCCCGCTGTCCAGGAGAACTGCCCGGGTGGTGCCCCGTTTGTACCCAGCATGAGAATACCAGGCCGGTCAAAGTCATTGGAAGCAAGTCGGACAAGACGTCGGTGCTTTTTCAGGCTGCTTACCCTGTCAAGAGTGGACCTAAAATGACATCCTATTTATTAATGTAAAGAAAAAAAAAGAGCGAAGAATCGATCAAGCTAATGTTGAGGGATGTTTTTCTCTGCTAAAAAAGACCCAAAGAAAAGACATCTAGTGTTAAATAGCAGGAAAGGATCAGCAGATGTCATAAATCAGGAATGTGATCTCCTTTATGAAAAGAAATGCAGCTTTTGACTTTGAACAGCTCTCAGTCTGCACTTTGCCTGTTTGGAGGCACCCTGGCACTGCATTTGGTGTGATTTCTTCTTAAAGTTCACAGCCTGTGAAGTTTTTTTCTGTTTGACCAAAACTGGGACTGGGATTAGATTAACCACATCTGTATTTTGCTGGCATTTATGTTCATCTAAAGAGATAAGAGCATTTTATACTGATAATTTTAAGGCAATCCACCAGAAATATGCCTGACAGAAGTTCAGTCTCTTATTGTAAGAAAATATTCTGGATGTTATTGACTCAAAGTAATGCAGTTAGCGAGTTTGACTCTTTCTACGTGTTTACATGAAGAGTATATATATTCTGTGTGTACAGCTGATGACCCATACTCTGAAGGAATTTAAGGAAGACTGTTTGGCCAGTTGACTTTCTCAAAGTTTGTGAAAAGCAGTTCAGGCTTAGCTTGGAAACAGTACCATGTAATGTGCAGCACCCTAAAAAGCATAAATAAGTGAACTGAGTAACCCTCCCACCCTCACCCACCCCCCTCCTTATTATGGCTAGTGGTGGCTCTGGCATGGCTCTGCCCCTAAGCTCATTCCAGAGCTTAGGGGCAGCAGCGGCAAATGCTCTGTCCCCTCTGAGCTTCAGCCTTGTACTGGGGACGGTCAGTAAAAGCTGATCAGCTGATCTTAGGGGTCGGGGTGGGCAATAAGGCTGTAGCATCTCCGAAATATAGGGTGGAGCAAGGTTGTTCAGGCCCTTAAAAACAAATGCTAAAAGCTTAAAATGAATTCTGTACTGAACAGGGAGCCAGTGTAAGGACGCCAGGATGGGGGTGATGTGCTCACGCCTGCGGGTCTGTGTCAGGAGACGTGCAGCAGAGTTCTGCATAAGCTGCAGGCGGGCAAGGGAAGCCTGGCTAATCCCTACGTACAAGGAGTTGCAGTAATCAAGACGGGTAGTGATAAAAGCATGGATTAATTTTTCCAGGTCAGGTCTTGATAAAATGGGCTTCACCTTCGCTATTTGGCGTAGCTGATAAAAACTTTTTTGTACCACCCCGCTGATCTGCTTGTCAAATTTAAAATCAGGGTCAAATTTAACTCCCAGATTAGTGACGACCTCTTTAAGGTAGGGTGAGAGGGAGCCTAGGTCGAAAACCCTTAAAACAGGCAGAAAAAAGAGAAAACTAAAAAAAAGAAAAAGAAGAGTATTTCTGAAAACAAAAAAAACAACAACAACAAAAAAACACCCTAAGAAAACTAAAAAACAAAAAAGAAATATTTCTGATTCTTGGGGTTAAGAAAGCCTGAGAAGTGGAAGAAGTAACTTCCCCGAAGTAAGGAAGTACTTAAAAAAAAAAAAAAACTCTTCAAAAAGAAATCTCCAAAAACAAAAATAAATTAAGACAACTGATGAAAAAACAAAAAAGAAAAAAAAAACATCAACATGGGAAAAAAAAAAAACTACTGGAAAGAAAATTAAAAAACAACAAACAAAAGCACCCATAACCCGGTGTTTTTCACACAAAAGATAAAATAAACCTTGCGGTTTTCCGTCCCATGGGAGGGTTTTTATCCCCCTCCTCGAGCTACCACCTTACCGTGGTGGAGGGGTTTGTGTGTCCCAATGAGAGTTAATTCTGATTTACTCTTGCTGTTGTCAAAAAGTGCTAAAATTTCTCTGAATTTCGCATGCTAAGTAGGCCCATGTCAGTTTTAATCCTTGCAGGACTCTTGTTTTCACTTTTCATCAGCAGAGGAAAAGCTTTTGGATAACTGATTAATATAGAGTTCAGGGGAAAGTATATCTGCAATGTATAATCAATAATGACTTTATCTTCATGAGTAAATATGATTTGTACATTTAAAGAGAACTATTTTTTAATTTTGGTTCAACAATGGACAGAAGTACACAGGCAAGATGGCGTCTGTAAAGTTCAGTTTAACAGCTGGTGTGTCATACTAAGTTTTCTTATTTAACCCATCAATACATATCAATTCATAAAGCATCTATTACAAAAACAGCTCAAATCAATGTGGGTTAACAGCAGGTTTGAAAAATACATGATTGTTATAGGGTGTGCTTTTTTTTTTACATTTAAATGTGAAAAATTCAAATGTAAACAAACAACAAGAGAATATTGCATCAAAGGAACAATTCCGTGATGACATCATTATGACATCATCATGGCTTTCATCTCGTGTTACTAACTGGAAGTAGAGCAGCTGTCCAGGGTATTGTTTGAACCTTTCAGCGAGTAGCTACACTTAAAGAAAGAGACAATCGAAATCTTTTAGCAGCGGAACTCTGAGACTACAAACAGTCAAAGACAATGCAGCGACCAACAAACCGACCCAGGATTAACAGGCCCTTCTACTTGAGGGACAGAGAGATGGAGACACTCCGCAGGACTGTGGCTCAGCTCACTGGACAGCTGGAGAGTGAGAAGAACCGAACACTCTTGCTCAGCCAGGAGTTGGAGGTGACTCAACAGAGGCTCACTGGACAGCTGGAGAGAGAGAAGAACCGAACACTCTTGCTCAGCCAGGAGTTGGAGGTGATTCATCAGAAGCTGACCAGGCAAAGGGCTCTCAAGGAAGTGTACATTAACAAAGGGAAGGAGCTCAAAAAGGAGCTGCAGATGCTTCAAAAGTACAGCTCAGAGGAGACCCTCTCCAAACACAGAATTGCTCTTAAGGTGAGGGACACGAGCCGGCAGAAGAAGAAGAAGGATCTTCATGTCGATTACGAGGAGCTGAAGGTGGCACATATTGTGGAAAATGAGAGGCTCACAACACAAGTCCAGGAACTGACTGAAAGAAACACGGTCCTCCATGAAGAACAGGAGAAGACAAGAACCTCATACCAAGCACTGAAATTCCAGTATGCAACTGATCTCACTGCTGCGAAACAGGAAGTTGAGACCCTTCAGCGTGAGCTGCAAAATCAGGCTCACCATGATGGACTCTTACAGGAACAGACCATCCAGATCCTGAGAGCCGAACAGGACTCCATGACGGAGAAGATTGCTGTTCTGCAGCAGGCAGCTTTTGAAACA